CCGAGACAGCTGTTTCACACAAGGCCCCATTGTCTGAGACAGGCTCGGATCGGTTTACTTCGAGAGCTGCGGGAACGTTCTGTCAGCTGCCCCGGCCGCGAGGAAACCTCGCTCACTGCAGATTTCCCTTCTTCTGTTATGGAGCCAAAAACCTACCATCGACTGTTAGGGAGGAAGGTTTCACCCAAGAACTAAAGTCCTCGCGCTGCTTTTATTTTCGCAGGGAAAACAATAGACCCACACACCCAAAGAATTTATAGATGGACTTTTGGAAAGCTGGCTGGAGGTGACCGCGAGTGCTGGTTTTCTCTCTGCGCTTCCTTGAGCACTTTGTCCAGTTTTGGGGAAAGCAGTGTTTTCCAGTCCTGGAAGGCCACAGACAAGATCCCTAGGAAGCAGCGGTCAGAATCAGGATGATCGCAGCATAAAATAAGTGATCACTGAATAATTCCTGAAGACTGGATGGCTTTTTTTTTTTTCTTCAACTCTGTGATAGAGAAAGGTGATGGCAACCACCACATGCCCCAGATCTGAACCTCAGGCTCCCATTGAGCAGATGAGCTCTCTTCCTAACTTCTCCCCCCACCCCTGCCAGTGGACATGTTGTATTTTGAATTCAGGCAGGTACTTAACAAAATACCTTACATTCTTATAAGCGTGATGAATAACTCTGGACGTGAAGACGGCAAGCCTGACCCATCTACCTTCAGCTGCTGCAGACTTTTTTTGGGGGGCAGTGGGGTGGATGTTTCTGTGTGTGTGGTAAAATGTACGTGAGATCTACCATTTTAACAGTTTTTAAGTGTTTTAAGTTTTTAAGTTCAGAGGCATTAAGCAGTCACCCAAACGTTTAAAAATATTGAAAATTTGGAATAATTCTGGGGCCCCACGAAATAAATTAAGCAGGTGTGGTTAGACTTATTCCTTTCTTCCACCCTATCCTTATCTTTCCCTACCGAGGATGAAGACCAGCTCTCCTGGGAGGGATCTGTCACGGAGCCAACCATCGTCATGTACCCTGAAGAGAGACCTTCCTATCTAGGACCCAAAGGACACATAAGGTGGCCTGGCCAAGAGACAGATCTGCGTCTGACCCATTTATCAAATGTATTTTTCTGAGTGTACACAGACTTTTTCTTTTTAAGCTGGTTACTCAGACATTGGCTATGCCTGCCAAACGGGATTGGCCCCTCTTCCTTACCACTTGCCCCCCCTTATAAAAAAAGCAAAGGTCAAATGAGAGAATTAGTAAAAACAAAGGCCCTCTGCAGCTCCAGGCCCACTTATCAGAACAGGACTGTGGTTGCCAAGGAAGCAGGGACAGATATGTACGCAGAGCTTTACAGCAGCCAAGCACATACAAAGTATCATTATCTTGTCAAATGTTATTCGTGTTGTATCTATTCCATCAGGCGCTTCTGTGTTGTGTGACCTTGGAGGAGGGACTGCCAGAGAGCTGTTGTGAGGGCAAATAAAACAACACCTGTCAAAGCCTGTAGCCCACGGCCCAGGGGACTGTAAGGACAAGATAGATGCTCTTTCGCGGGGTTGATATTCTCCCTTCCTCCCGGCTTTCTGGTCAGATGCTCACTGATTTCCATTTGCCTCATTTGAAATTGGCGACTCTTTGACCGGGCATGTGTGTGTACCTCTGCGCTGTTTAGAATTCAAATAAAGTTGGAAATACCTGATAGACAGATGTGCAGGCTATTACAGAAGCACCAGGGAGGCACACCCAACTCAGCCTGAAGGGATGCGTTCTGCAAAGACTTCTAGAAGGTGAGGCCCAAGCTGAGATTTGAAGGAAGAGCCATTTTTGTAGGTTAGATAGGCTTACACAAATAGATGTTTCTAATCTGAATCAGTTTTGTACATTTAAAAAAACATGTAGGCAAGGCATTTACCTCTGATCTTTGTGTTAGCTGTTTGAGCTAAAGTTATAAAATTGTATTTAAAAAAATTAGTAAATTGGACTTTTCACTATAGACCATTGGCTTTCAAACTATTCTAGGAATCCTGGGATTTTTTTGGTGGCAGGGAGGGTTTCTAGGGACCTCTGTCCAGAGAGTGGTAGAGATAGGACTCCAGGCCCTCACCAAAGAGCTTCACCATTCTTCCTATTATATTTATTGGTGTTGTGTGTAATTTTTTTTAACTTAGAAAAAAGGGGCTCTGATATCGAAATATGTTTCAAACTACACAGGGAGACTCACTCCCCAGTGCAGCGGGTCTCATTGCATACTTGTCATCTAAGATTAATTTACTCAGTTGAATACTTTAAGCAAAGCACCAGAAATACTCCCACCCTAAGTTATCTTTGTCTGTTCTGCAGCCATGACCTTCACACCCCACCACCGCCCTCAGGCAGCGACCTCGTAAAACAGAGGCAGATTTGAGAAAATTTATCACTAAAGACAGCGTCCTTAAGAAGACGGCTTATTCACGGTGGGACAGCGGCACCTTCGTGTACAAAGACAGCAAATTATTATTAGAACAAATGTTGTTATAACAAAATACCTTCATATGGAATAGGTTTATAAGTCCTATTTATAAATCAATATTGCAAATAACATCTGCAGTAAAATTCTGGAACAGTGAATGAATGAGCAGTTCCTTCATGTTCAAGCTACAAATATGCTTCTCTTTCATCTCAAACACAGGATGAGAACCTGATTTTCTAACAAGGTTCTCACCTTCCAAATATATGTGCTGGTATCAAAATACATTGACTTGTTTTCATAGCTCCTTAAGCGTTAAGGAAGACTTTTCTAAATGTGTATACAATGACTATCCCCATGCATCATTATAAAGCTGGGTTGAGAGAAGTAGATCTAGTCTCAGATGGGAAGAAAACATCAGATTAAAAGAAAACACCAGATGAGCAGCTTCCCCAGGTCTTCTTGGAAGCCAAGCAGCGAAGCTAGAACAAGTTCGAATCCATGCATTGCATGAACTGAAATCTGCAAGACAGCTTGCCCTGTTGAGCTGTGCACCCGAGGCCGCTGCTCCTTAGACATGGGCACTTTTCCCAGGAAAAGCGACTAGGCTTCGGGTATACCCACGGGGAAAGGAGAATAAGAAGATGCAACTGCTAAGAATCTCTTACCGAAAACCTCCCCCGCCCACTGCTGCCGGGCTGTGCTTCGCACCCCTGTCACTTAGGCACAGAGCATATTCTCCCTGTGGACCCACACCTGGGCGAGCCTGCAGTGGCACCAACGGTGGGGTCAAGTGTCAAGGGGGTTTACGTTTCCACTGCTAAGTTGTTTGCACTCATAACGTGCAAGAACAAAAGGAACGTTACAGAAACCCATTGATGGATTTTCTAACCTGCTCAGAAAGGCAACAAATAAGTTAGTCAGCGGGTGGATAGGGGTCAGAAGCAAGAAAAAGCAGAGAAGAGCTGTGAGCAAGACACAGAGCGGAAATCCCACAACCTGCAAACTGTCATTTTCCAGTCTCCATTCTCACAAAAGTACTTCCTTTACGGAAAACTCACTGCTCCCAGACACAATTCGTTTGGTTCACTTAGTAAGTCAACTGAACATGATTTACAGAAAGCTCTCGATCTAATTATTAAGAAATTATTATTGTTTTTGTTAGGGATGACAATGCATGATGGTTCTATACGTATACATGAAGTCCTTATCAGCGATACGTAGTGAAGTGACGGGATGCGTTGGATTTTCTTTAAGATCCTCTGGCGAAAATGATGACAAGTGGGGGAAGATGAGACCAGCCAGTAGTTGAGCTGGGTGATGGGAATATGGGGGTTCACTACAGTAAACTCTCTACTTTTGCAAGTGTTTTTAAATGTTCACAATAAAAAGTTAAATGATTTTAAAAATAAGTCTAGGGCTTCCCTGGTGGCGCAGTGGTTGAGAGTCCGCCTGCCGATGCAGGGGACACGGGTTCATGCCCCGGTCCGGGAAGATCCCACATGCCGCGGAGCGGCTGGGCCCGTGAGCCATGGCCGCTGAGCCTGCGCGTCCGGAGCCTGTGCACCGCAACGGGAGAGGCCACAACAGTGAGAGGGCCGCATACCGCAAAAAAAAAAAAAAAAAGGTCTAAAACCACATCACGCTAATACTCTTCCAGGTGGTTCCCACACAAAAATGAAGGCAGGCTTTGATGCCTACCACTGAATTTCTCTGATTCAAAAATATCATCAGTTGGAAGATCCACCATTCATTTAATAATCGTTTTTCGGAGGGAAATAAACACGCAACAATGAAATACACACTGATTATAAATGCTATTCCAATTTCAAAATTGTTATTAATGTGCAACCGGACTGCAGTAATCTGGCAACTTCTTTGTCAACTGTTAATAGGAATCGTTGTTGTTAAAAGTCCAAGTCTGAAAAGAACGGTGTGCGGAGTCTCCGTTATTTACTTAACTTAACCATCCTTTATTTGATCATTTACTTTAACCCATTAAATTGGGTTAATTGCTTTAGCGGCTGAAGGTTTGCCTTCCTAAAACCTAAGGGGGAAAGTGCGGGCTAACCAGGTCCAAGGATGTCAATAAGCTTGGCGTCTACAGGCCTAGACACGACAGGCCTTGTTTTAATCCTGTATATTAATGAAAGTAATACACCTGTAAGATTATAAATGCCCAAGGCACGCGTATCTGGGGATCTTAAAACTATTTAGAATTTCTGTTCATTCCCTGCGGGAGCATCTTGGGGAAAAGAAACCGAGTCAGAAGCATGAGTCCACCCCACGTTGGTCCAGAGGTGGAGGTCGCGGAGGCAGAGGTAGAGAAGGTGTTACAGCTGCCTGACGTGTGTGTGTGGGGGGGGGGGCGGGGGCGGGGGGGGGCTTGTCTTTATTGGGCACCAGGGGTGTGTGGACTCGGCCCGAACCGCCCAGCTCTTCCACACGTTCCCGTTTGGGGTGGGGACCTGCACGGCTTGCCCAGCGCTATGAAAGCATCCCCTCCCCGGCCCCGGGGACCCGGCCCCGGGGGCGCGTGCGCAGGCGCTGCGCCGCACTTACTGTCCTCGGGCAGGCTGTTCTCGCGCTCTTCTCTCTCCATCTGCTGACACCACCCTTCCATGCGGTCCCGCTCCGCCTGGAGAAGCTTCAGAAACCAGTGGCCGTCCCGGTGGCACACTGACCTCTGCACGGCCTCCAGGGGGTCTTCGGTGATTGAGTCAATCCAGGGGTCTGGGGGCGGCAGAATGGAAGGGTCGAAATCCGCATCGAAGTCCTCGTCGGCCGCGCAGGCGTGGTAGTGGTTTCCTGAGCCCTGGATGCTGACCGTGGAGGTGCTGGCGTCCCGGGAGAACTGTCTGGCCACCGGGCCGGGGCATGAATTGTCCTCTATAGACTCCAGAGAGTTCTCCAGGTTATCGTGGAAGTCCAGGTCGGCCTGCACGGCCGTCGTCACACTGTTGGATCGAGTGAACCTGCGGAAGCTTGGAGGGATAGAGAGAGACGAGTTAGTTCAAGGATGTTTCTCAAAGCAGAACTACATTCTGCGTCTCTTCATGGGTGTGCAAGAGGGGGTCTCATCTTCTCAGTCTGCAGAGGTAGCCCTTGATGCCGGCGCATCGATTGCCCTGGCTCTAGTGTAAGGAGCACAGAGCCCTCATCTCTGTTCAATATGGAATGTGAAAACGTATCTAGAGAAGGTTTAGAAGTGGACCGCAAGCACCGCTCTCAAAGCCAGAATGATGTCCGGGGTTCAACTTCCTCCCCAAATCGGCAGTGGCTTGAATCCTGACATTCAGTGAAGGGTAAATTTGGTGAGGGGTAAGGAAACAATTCAGTTATCTCTTAGTCTGCGTAATTTCCTTTGAAACAAGAGGAGAAAAAACAACAACAACAACACCCCACCTGGGCCAAAACTATCTTGAATCCCACATAACCACATTTCCCAGGGACAGCTCTTACCTGAAAGCAAACTAAACTGTCATTAAGCTCCCCTTAACGTTAAAGCTCCTTCCCCTGGGAAGTCTTCACCTGTCTCTTGATCACAGGGTCATCGTGATAATTTGATACAAAGCCTTTGGGGCAAAATCAGCTCGAGGTTCTAGAGTTTTCCGATACCATCCTTCCCTGCGCCTTTAATTTCCCTCTCCATAGTTCTTCTACCGAGGTGATAAAAGACAACTTGTTAACACCATTTTATATGGACATACAACCAAATGGTTCTAGATTTCTCTTGTTGACCCCTACCGCAAAGGTGAGGATGTATGGAAGGAGGGAGGGGTGGGGAAGGACAGGGGAGCAGTGAATTCTTTCTCAGACAAGGGGCAAGGGAAGGTGTGGGCCTGAACTAATTTAAAACACACCCCCAGAAAGCTTCCTTGGCTCCTGGAGCAGACAGGAAATGATGATTTAACAGGATATAAGAGGCTATGTCTACTGAAGGCAGCATCAGGTATCTGTTACCCCCACTTTATACTTCTTTTTTTTTTAAGGTAACTTCCTGATCTAATATTTTATTTATTTTTTATTCTGAAGAAATATATGTAACATAAAATTTACACGTTTAACCATTTTTAAGTGTATGGTTCAGTGGCATTAAATACATTTACACTGTTGTACAACCATCTCCAGAACCTTTTCATCTTCCCCAGTTGAAACTCTGTACCGTTAAACAACTCCCCATTCCCCCTTCCTTCCAGCCTCTGGCAACCACAATTCCACTTTCTGTCTCTCTGAATTTGACTACTCTAGGTCCCTCATGTAAGTTGAGTCATACAGTATGTGTCTTTCTGTCGCTGGCTTATTTCACTTAGCCTGATGTCTTCAAGGTTCGTCCATATTGTAGCATATGTCGGAATTTCCTTCCTATTTAAGGCTGAATAATATCCCATTATATGTATATAACACATTGTGTTTATTTTTTCATTCATCAGTAGACATTTGGGTTGGTTCCACCTTTTGGCTATTGTGAATAATTCTGCTATGAACATGGGTGTACAAATAACTCTTTGAGACTCTGCTCTCAATTCTTCTGGGTATATATCCAGAAGTAGAATTGTTGAATTATGTGCTAATTCTGTTTTTAATATTTTGAGGAGCTGTTTTCCCTAGCAGTTGTACCATTTTATATTCCCACCAAAAATGCATGTTTTCCAGTTTCTCCACATCCTTGCCAACAGTGATTTTCTGACTTTTTCTTTTTTTTAAAAATTTTTATTGGAGTATAGTTGCTTTACAATATTGTGTTAGTTTCTGCTGTACAGCACAGTGAATCAGCTATACATATACGTATATCCCCTCTTTTTTGGATTTCTTTCCCATTTAGGTCACCACAGAGCACTGAGTAGTTTCCTGTGCTACACAGTAGGTTCTCATTAGTTATCTGTTTTATACACAGTATCCATAGTGTATATATGTCAATCCCAATCTCCCAGTTCATCACCCCCCACTTCCCCCTTGGTATTCGTACGTTTGTTCTCTACGTCTGTGACTTTTTCGATAGTAGCCCCGCTTCCCCCTTGGTATCCGTACGTTTGTTCTCTACATCTATGACTTTTTCGATAGTAGCCATCCTAATGGGTGTGAGGTGATATATTTTCTTGACTGGCTCATGATTATGCCATGTTAAGATGGTTTATTTGCTAGTTGATTTTCAGTTAATATTCAATAGTGCCAGCCTTAAAGGAGAGTGCACTAAATAATGTCCATACAACATTGAATAAACCAGATTATACGCTTTTTTCTTAACTCTTGTGGAACACTCTATCAGAGCCAATTAATACTAATATTCTGGTCCCTCAAAAATAAATAAAGAACAAACTGGAAGTCACAAAAAGGAGAGGGTACAATCATCTTAATCAGTCCATGTTTTCCCCCTAGAGAATAAATACCAAGAAAGTAAATGAGTGTACAATTGGTCTGTTTTCGTTATTAGGATGATCACAATAATAAATGTTGTGATTCTCACCATTCATTTTATGAAGCTAGGCCTGCCAGTAAAGGCCAGCCCATCTCACTGTTTGCTGTTTGCAAGAAGTTACTTCTGTGGAAGGTATCAGGTGTGGCCATTTTATAAGTCCTTTAACTCTGAAATGGGTCATAGGAAAAATCGCTCAGTGTGAAAGTCTGAAAGAATGTCCTTCCTGGTCCTAGCAGTGAAAACAAGAAGAATTGTGCTACCGCAATTTTTCCAATAACCACCGGCTTCTTGGCTGCGAGAGGCCATTTCTGCCGCCTTCTTGTTCATCCACCAACACGTTAAATGACATCTGAAGCTGAGCTTTCTCTCCAGCTGCATGTGTGCGAACCGGTTGACTTTCCTCACAACAGTTGACATTCTACCTGTTCCACTAACACAAAATCCCAGCTATGAAAACACTCGGCTCCCCTCTCCAAGATCATGGGCTGCCAGAGGCATTCCATTTCCAAACTTAAGGAAGACCCAGCACCTTATTGCTTCCAGTCGGAGCAGACTTGCCGGAGACTGAGTCTGTTCCACGCGCAACTCACAATGACCCGGTTTCCTTGTGCCTCTGTTTTTATCGACACAAAACCGTACCACCAGCATTCCTGACAGAGGGCTCCTGGCTATGACTCTTGTAAAGTATCCACCTTCTTCAGAAAAATTACTTGGCAGGAGATGAGTAGAAGTTTCCAGGTTAGTCACCCAGAAAGAAAGAAAAGTTAAGTAAAATTAAAGTGGTTTGGGATTAAAAGCGGTGCCTTTGAACTCAGGCAGCCCCGTCCAGGCTACACTGTTTCTCTAAATTAAGTTCCTTAAGCAAGTGCTTTCTTCTATCCTGAGTTTTCAAAGAATGTTCTGCTCTGTGAAACGCTTTATGTCTTTCATGTGCAGAGTTCCTTCTGGGAGAAGGGTGCGATCAAGTTGTCGTTGTTTAGAAGTTTTGATAGGAACGCAGAGGGAGTCATTGGGTTCACTTCCGTGTTTCTGAAGAGAATAGATCAGTTGCTGGTGGATGGTATAAACCTGAAAGCTGAACACCGTGGCCTGCTGTTTGCAAACCCACAATTTCCAGTCTTGAAGCTTCTTTGGCCCTTCATGCCCTAAAGGCAAAATGTGTGATAATTACAACTTCTGAAAAGGACCGGCCAGTGTTCTGGCCAAAGGAGCAGAAAACCATGAAACCAAAGACTGGACCAACCACTATGGGGTACAATACCTTGTCTGTTCTGAAGGCAAGAGGAAAGGCACTTGTGGGCATTCACCGCTGCTGTTGCTTTGTGCTCTTTCTATGAAGCAAGTTCATATTTCTTTTTTTTTAATTAATTAATTAATTAATTTTTGGCTGCATTGGGTCTTTGTTGCTGTGTGCAGGCTTTCTCTAGTTGTGGCGAGTCGGGGCCACTCTTTGTTACGGTGCACAGGCTGCTTATTGCGGTGGCTTCTCTTGTTGCAGAGTACAGGCTCTAAGTGTGTGGGCTTCGGTAGTTGTGGCGCGTGGGCTCAGTAGTTGTGGCTCGCCGGCTCTAGAGCGCAGGCTCAGTAGTTGTTGTGCACGGGCTCAGTTGCTCCGCGGCATGTGGGATCTTCCCAGGCCGGGGCTCGAACCCGTATCCCCTGCATCGGCAGGCAGATTCTTAACCACTGCACCACCAGGGAAGCCCGAGTTTATATTTCTGATGAGAGGATTTTGTGCCCTGCTCCCACCACTTTTCTGTCCAGCAGATTCCAAATCAGTGAACAGATGGTAAATCTCAGAGGCCCATTCTCATCCCGCCTGTCTGATGGGGCTGTATTTAAACAAAATAAGTCATGAATGAAAACTAAGCACAGTCTATATCTTTAGACCACACATGCTTTGTTCCTGCAAGTTCAACTATCTGAGACTCAAGCCATAAACTTATCTTAGGGAGACTCCCTCAGTCACACCCGTTACAGAATCCTCTGGTTCCTGGTTCTCTTTTCCATCCCTCTCATCCACATAATGGTTGCTTTTCAGGGCTAAATCTAGTTTCAAAGAAAAAAACGCTAGTCCTACGCTGTTATTCCTTCTTTAGACAATTTTCCCGTGCCTGCTGTCAAGGCTGAATATATGTGGAATTCGAAAATGCTTTTCTTCAACAGTGTGCCATCTTTGTCTCTTGGGAAATGGCCCTTAACCGATGTGAAAATCCAGGATGTCTCATTACATAAAATGAAAGATAGATCAAAAGGTAGGCAAGGGGGGTGAGGAGATTGATATCAAGAATTAAGACTTTTTCTAACAAAGAGGTTCACTCTTTCTGTCAGACGAGCTTCCCAGTTAGAACAGAGCACAGAGGAACCTACATGTCATGCAACCCTGCTCACAAGCTCAGTGGGAAAAAACCGTCCTGCTGCTTATTTGTATGTGGTTAGCACTGTCCTATTGACAGATTGTAAAACTACCTCAACACAAGCATCTATTGGTTATTTAAAACCCTCCACGTTCATCATACGTTTGCCTGAAGCTCTCTTTAAGCAAAGAAAATTAGAATAGGTTTT